TGTTAAACAAGGTGTGACTATCAGGTAAAGAGGCTTTTGTTTTGTTCTGTTTTTAAACAACCCTTCATGTATATATTCAAGTGAGTGCTGACTCTTTTCCAAACAAATATTGGGAAATACAGTATGGGTGTTCATAGGGCAGGGGCAGTAGCGTATTTACTGTTAAAGTTCTCCTGGAACACCTGAGCTATGGGATCCTCACAACCAGAGGGGAGCTCAGGTAGCATTTGGGACCATGGTAACATGGTGGAAAATACACATTAAGTGACCCTCCTCCTCAGTGAGAGAGTTTTACCCCACAACATATAGATAGATAGATAGATGTTTTTTCTGGAGGAAAAGATCCATCTCTTCTCCACCTTCCTTTATTCCATAAAAAATCTAATTAAATGCCTGGTACACAAAAGGTGTCTAATAAATATGTGTTGGACATGTGGCCTACCCTATCACAATACTTATATTCATTCTTCAGAAAATGAAATGTATAGTCCATATTTTTTATTTAAATATGTCTTTTGAGCCTATTTTCTTTAATATTGATTTTTATTGATTTCAGAGAGGGAGAGAGAAATAGAAACATCAAGGATGAGAGAGAATCTTTGATAGGCTGCCTCTTGCATGCCCCCTACTGGGGACCGAGTCTGCTACCCAGGCATGTGCCCTGACTGGGAATCGAACCATGACCTCCTGGTTCATAGGTAATTAATTGCTCAACCACTGAGCCATGCCAGCGGGGCAGAGCCTAATTTTTAAATCTTTCCTTCCCACACACTGTTTCTCCTACTTATTTGTATGGCTAATAGCCAATAAATGATCATTCAACAAACATTTATTGAGAAATGACTAAATGCCAAACACTGGGGGGAATCTCCTGGATTTTTCTTAGGTTACACACAGAAAGAACCTCAGAGCCACATATGTTGAGCAGCCTCCCATGGAACACAGACTCTCTCATGTAACCTCAGGAAAGAAATGGAGTTATAATAAGGACCTCTAGAACTGAAATTTGGTCATAGTCTCCCAGTTTTTTTCTCTCAGTGGTGCTTGTGTTTATCTTGCTCCATTCTCCTTCTCTTTCCTCTATAACCAGACTTCTCTGCTTACCCATCACTTAGTTGTTGCATGGTGGTATATTAGTCAGGAAAAGCTAGCTATGCTTCAGTAACAAACAAGCCCCACATGTCAGTGATCTGAAATAGCAAAGGTTTATAGCTCGCTCTTCCTATATGTTCGCCAAGGCTTAGTTGGGGGAACAGGGGATGTTTTGCTGGTTAAAACCACTTGGGAACCCAGAATGACAGAACAGCAGTAATCTTAAAAATGAACATGGTGAGGTATATGCTAACTCTTTAAGTGTCCACCATAAGTCACTTCTGCTCACATTTCCTTGACCAAAGCAAATCGAATGACCATACCTAACTTAATTAGGAGAGGGTATGTGTAATCATAGAGATATGCAATCCTGTCAAGACCCAGCTTAGGCAGAAAGCCTAAATACTTTTAGTAGCCTTAACCATTCTTATACAGGCATTTCCAGCTCAAGACTGCAAAACCTTTCTGTTTCAGCAACCTCAGTGAATGATTCATGCTTTCCACATTCTTTATTTCAAGCTGCAGTTCGAGAGTGTCCCAGTCCATCTTTGCCTGACAGGGCACACACTCACTAGCTGTCAGGTTAGCCGCTGGATCTGTCCTGGAGTCATGGCCAGTCAGCTGGGGAACAGGGATATATACCATAGCATGTGGCTATCCAGCCCACCTCTCTTGATCCTATCCGGGGACTGAGAGACCTGTCCAGTACAGAAGAAACTGTTGTTTAAGCCATGCTTTGCTTGTCCTAGCCCTTGGTGTTAGAAAGGTCATGAGTGGTGCAGTTCTTGAAGCTGGGTTGGGTCTGGCTGGCTGTCAGGCTATTTATGGGGCAGAATCTCAACAGTGGTGAAATGCAAATGGTTGAGTCCAAGGACCTGCTGTGTTAACCCATTAGTCTAGGGATCGATGATGATATACCAAGAGATTTTACATTTTGGCTCTGTGCAACTCTATATCCACAGTTGGACGCCATATAACTCTGAACATTGCCCTAGGTGAGAGGAGCAGGGAAGAGAATTTCACAATAAGACCTGAACGTCTGAACCCAGAATTCAAGTCCCTTCTCCAAATGCCCCCAATATATCTCTCCAGCCTCATATCTCAGTTCACCCCCAAATAAACCTACTGTCCAACCACTATCAAATGTTCCCTTTTCTTTCCTTGGCTTGTACAATACCTTCTCTCTAACAAATTACTACCCTTACTCTAAAATCAGTTTTAAAACCACTACAAAAAAAGCAAAACAAAAAAAAAAAAAAAACACCGCTTTTCAGAGAAGTCTTTTTCTGTCTGCTCTGACTGGTCATTTCGATTTCTTCCTTCTCTGAATTCCTATACCCCTACTCATGAGGGACCCCTGGAGGGCATGGGTATGTCTTATTCATTCAAGGATCCCAGAGCCTAGTGCCTGCCTGGGAACAGGGATATATACTGTGGTGATATGTTCGTCAGTGCTCACCAATGGTGTGTTTGCTGAATTGTCTACAGTGCCTGTTCATTTAAGGAAACTTTAATGTGTTCCTCTGCTATGTTAGACACAGTGAATGAAAGTCAGTAATATATGGTCCCTCCAAGAGTTTCTCTAGTTTAGTTGTCTTATTTTATAGATGAGAAAACTGAAACCCAGAGAGGAGAAATGACTGGCCCTCTGCCACCCAAGCAGCCAGAATGTACTAAGCACTTTGCTATGTGTTAGACTAAGTGCTTTTCATTCTTTTACACATATTTTTTAATTGATTTCAAAGAGAGGAGAGGGGGAGAGATAGAAACATCAATGATGAGAGAGAATCATTGATCGGCTGCCTCCTGCACGCCCCCTATTGGGGATTGAGCCTGCAACCGGAGCATGTGCCCTTGACTGGAATCGAACCCGGGACCTTTCAGTCTTCAGGCCCATGCTCTCACTAGCCACTGAGTCAAACCAGTTAGGGCTCTTTTCATTCTTTATTTCATTTTCAAACTTGTAACAACCCTAAAAGGGAAGAATTTTTACACCTACTTCCAGAAGAGAAAACGCGGCTTTAAAAGGTTGTAACATGGCTAAGGCAAGGAAGAGGCTAGGCCAGGTTTGGATCGCAGAGTCTAACTCCCTACTCTTACCCCCTGTGCTGAGCTCCGTGCTGGGGACTCAGCTCCCTGTGATCCACGCACCTGTATATTGCCGAGAGGCCTTGAACTTTGTCAGTGCTGCCGTGGCCGGGTTGACATATGGCAATTAAAAGGTTCTGGCGAGAGTCTGTGCTGTGCAGCCCGTAGGCACACGGATCCGCTGTTCTGACTGTTAGGTCAGGGTATGTTTTCCCTCCTGGGCAGTTGGGTTAGTGGAGGAAACCTGATAAAATCCTGCAGAGGAACTTGATCTTTCTCTGAAGGACTTACAAGTTGTTTGGCCTGCCTAATCTGCTCAGATACCGTCCGGGGAATATTCTGTGTCCGTGTAGCACAGGCTGTGAATTATTCTATGGGGACTGTTAATGAGACCCTCGCCAACTCCGCCTCAGCCAGGCTCAGGCAGGGCTTTGGGGCAGCCCCCTTTCTTTCCCTCCCACCAAAAGCTCGAAAAAGAGCAGGCTTTCCCCATTGGGAGCTGGGGGCAGTGAGAGATGTCGGAAATCCTGCTGCCTCCACGCGGAGCTCACTGTACAGAGCTGGGCCTCAGAGCTGTGACTGTGGATGCAAGAACTTAGCTGGGTTAACATTTATCCCACATCTTGGCTACCGGTGCCTGAGAGTCTAACATGGCAAGGGGCTGAATCCCTAAAACCACTGAAAAAAAAAAAAAAAAAAAAAATATATATATATATATATATATATATATATATATATATATATAGAGAGAGAGAGAGAGAGAGAGAGAGAGAGAGAGAGAGAGATATCACTCTGAAGGCACCTCGGAGATCCTCTGGATTTAAAGATGGGGAAACTGAGACTCGGAGGCTAAGGCCTCCAGGTCACACAGCTGCAGGCGATAGAGACCCAAGTTCCTGAGTCTAAACTCCATGTTCTTTCATCTTCCCCCTCCTTCCCTTTGCTGAAGCCAGGCACTGACACACAGAGAACTAAGCCAAATGGGTCCTTGGCCCCTAGAGTGTTTGGCTAGCCCTCTCAGAGAGGAAGGGCGCGCAGAAGACAGATTCCGGGGCATTCTGACCCACCCCAGCTGAGAGTCTTCTGAGCGGCCAGGGTCTTGCTCTCAACTCGCTTTCTCTGCTCCAGGTTCGTTTCCCCGAGAAAGTGAGCGCCCGGGAGGATACCGGTCAAGCTGAGAGCGCTTGGGAGTGCAGGGCGCTCAGGCCTGGGTGCCGGGTCGGCGGCTGCTGGGACCCCCTGGGGCAGGGGGAAGAGACTGATGCTCAGCGCGCCGGGTTGCGGCGGCTGGGCGATGCACACCTGCCACCTGTCCTGCCCCCCCGGGCTGCTGTGACTTGGGCGGGCGGCTGAGCGGGGGACCCTAATGGTGGGGCGCCGGCTCCCAGAGGAGGGGGCGCAGAGGGCGGAGGTGAGCGCCCCATCCCCGGCTCGGCCCCAGCGGAGCCCCGACGCCCTCTCCCGGGGGTGCAGGCTTGGACACGGGGCGGCCCGGGCTGCGCGGGGCCCCATATATAGTCATATCCACCGGCAGGCGGAGGAGGCGGGCGGCGGCGAATGGGCGCCGGCCCCGCGGGAGGAGCGGAGCGGGGCGGGCGCGGGGGGCGGGGGGAGGAGAGCCGAGCGGGGGCAGGAGGGAGCAGCTTTTCCAAAAAAGTATTGGCTGTCCGGAGGAATGCGGTCGTCCCCTCGGGAAAGTACATATCTGGAGGGAGCCGGCGGCCTCGCTCGCACTCCGGCTCGGCCGCCCCTCTGCGCGCTCGCCCCGCCGCTCCAGCCGCTCCCGCCGCCGCCGCCCCCGGCCCCGCGCCGCCGCCGCCATGGACGCCATCAAGAAGAAGATGCAGATGCTGAAGCTCGACAAGGAGAACGCCTTGGACCGAGCCGAGCAGGCGGAGGCCGATAAGAAGGCGGCGGAGGACAGAAGCAAGCAGGTCTGCACCTCCTGCCCGCCCCGAGCGCGCCCGCCCGGGGTCCCGGAGCCCCTGGCCACGGCCTGACACCCCCTCCCGGCCCCTCACCCCGAGGATCCGGGAGCCACCCCGTCCCTTCCCCCGACGGCCGGGGCGCGCGCCTGAGAGGGGCGAGAGGAGAAGAGCGGGACTCGGGCTCCTTCTAACTTTCCATTCTCCATCCTGAGGGCTTCCCTCTGTGGCTCTCGGAGCCCCCGGAGCCCCGCCAAGCCCTGGAGGCGCTCGGTTCTCTGGGTCGGGAGTCAGGTTTGGATCCGTGGGGGCGAGAAGGGGTGAAGCGCGGGCTTGAAGAGAACCGGGTCCAGCAAGTGTTAGAAGTTCTTCTGGGCATTTGGGAATAAACCCTTCAACTGGGGCAGAACTGGGGCGGGGAGGGGGGGGGGGTAAAGTCATGGAGTTTATCCCTAAGAGCAAAGGTGGGACAGAATAGAGACTAGGACCCTAAGGCCAGGAGGATGGGGCTTCTCTGCCCCCTGAGCTGTGGGCTTGAGCCCTCGGGGCCAGGGCAGGAGTCTCGCCCTGGGGGGGGGGGGGGGGGATGTGGGGGATGTGGGTGAACCACAGTTCGCCTCTGGCTCCAGCGAGAGGAGGGGACCTGGGGACCTTGGAACCTAAACCCGGCGGCGCCCCGAGCCCGAGGGGCCCCAGCCAACCCGGCGCCCGTGTGTGGTGTGTGTGTGTGTGTGTGTGTGTGTGTGTGTGTGTGTGTGTCTAACACCCGGTCCGTGCCGGCCGCCCGCGCCCGCCGCTGCCCCGCAGCTGGAGGAGGACATCGCGGCCAAGGAGAAGCTGCTGCGGGCGTCGGAGGACGAGCGGGACCGGGTGCTGGAGGACCTGCACAAGGCGGAGGACAGCCTCCTGGCCGCCGACGAGACCGCCGCCAAGGTACTGGGGCGCGCGGCTCGGCGCACGAATGGCTAACTGTCTCTCTCTCTCTCTCTCCTTCCCTCCCTCCCTGTCTCTCCCTCTCTCTGTCCCGCTGTCCCTGTCCTTCTGGTTCTGTGCACCCACACCCTCCGACCCCTGCGGGATCACGCTGCCTGCCGCACCCCCCCCCCCCCACTCCCCGTCCCCCACGGCCAACTCCCAGCTGGAAGATGAGCTGGTGTCGCTACAAAAGAAGCTCAAGGGCACCGAAGATGAGCTGGACAAGTACTCCGAGGCTCTCAAAGATGCCCAGGAGAAGCTGGAGCTGGCGGAGAAGAAGGCCACCGACGTAAGTGCTTGCACACACTGCCTCCCTCACCTCCTGCCCGCCCGCTCGGGCCGCTCTGGAGACCCCAGGGGCCCAGAGAGACACCTGCACACAGCCCTGCCCTGGCCCGGAGCGCTGGATGCTGCCGCAGACCGCTACTGCACACGTTCTTCATATTTCATCCATTCCTCTCTCCTTTTCTCCTTCTGCGGCCCCACTCCTGGGGTGGGGGTGGGGGGGTGAGGAGCTGGGAGTTCACAGCAGCTGAAATTGGATGCTGGGAGGTGAAAATTGCCTCCCTGGTACCAGAAAAACTTTTAAGGTGTCCTCCTTAGCAAGGTTTGTGCAAACAGAATGCCTAATTTCTCTCTTCCCTTTTGCCATCTCTGGTGGGTGGGGAGGCCTGGTGTCGGCGATTGTGTCTAGTCAGGGGACAGAGGCCTGTGCTCTAGATTAAAGGAATAGTTTGAGGCTACTTGTACACAGAAGGCTGAGCTTGATGGTGGGGCACAGAGACTGCTGAGGCCTCCTTTCTTCGCAGGGAAGCCTTCATTCAGCCCTTAAGATCTGCTGGGGAAGATGATACTTGCTTGGGTCCGCAGGCTGAGGGCACTAGATCCAAAAAGTAAGCTGGGGGTTATATATAGCTCAGTGCTTTATATGGTATAGTGAGCGAGCTGCCCCCTGCCCCTCCTGCTCACTCCACCCCCACCTGTCAGCCCTCTGACAACCACCACATAGTTTCAGGGGTGATGCAAACAGGCAGAAGCTCTATCAGCACTCTGCTCACTGCCCTTTGGAGGGATCTTTCCAGCCGAAGAGCAAGCCAAGCATTAGATTTCCAAAGGACTTCTTTTCACACCGTCGGATGCCATTCTAGAAGCTAATTAAGCCTGGAGGCCCAATTAGGAAAGAATTCCTTGGGAACAATTCCAAGAATGTATGAGTACCAGGAAAGGCTATGCCCAGAAGTTATTCTACCCAGTGCAACTGGCAGAATATTTTGTCTGAGAGTAAAATGCAAGTTGCTGGAGGGTCTTGGGTCTTGAAATCAGGAAAGGCTTTTCGTGGTATGAAAGGCTTGAAATCTAATCTCCAAGTGTGTTTGTCCATGAGAAATCCAGACTTGGGACATTCAGAATCTGCCAAAAAAAACTTTTTTTTCCCAGTGAAAATCAAGGTTCCTGGGGGGGGGGGGGGGGGGAGAGATTCAAGAAAGCACTGATTGAGCTAAAATATTTAAGTTACAAACTACCTGGCTTTAGAAAAAAGAGCCAAGGAACACATAACTCTGCCCACACTGAATAATGTAGATCAGATGTGTGCTCTCTATAAGGCTAAATGGAGGAGGTCTGTCTCCCCCAAATTCTCCAGCAGGACGTTTATTTAGCTTTTCAAAGGAGCCGCTGATAGATCAAGGAGAGATATTCCTTATAAGGTAAAGAATGCAGAGAATTTGAAAGTAGCCCAGTAAGGCAAAGAGAAGTGGCAAAAAAAAAAAAAAAAGATACTCTAATTCTTAAGGAGAAATAGATAATTATTGTGACTATATAGAGCTATAAGTCTTTTTTGAGGTTTGTTTAAGGGAGCCTAGGAATGGGGTGGGCAGAAGTGGAAAAGAGGACATTTAAAGCCAGCTGGGGGAAGGGGCGGGGCCAGCACTGGAGGGGGGTTTTGGAACTCTGTTTGGATTCTTTTTTTTTTTTTCCCAACTGGAAAACTGACCCTAATATGGTACACATTTTATTTTTTTTGTCAGTATATTTTGATCACCTTCCCCTTTAAGACATTTTAGGTTGTTGGGAACCTGTAGGGATGTGGAAGAAGTTTGTGGGGGGGGAAATGCTATATTTAGAGTGATTCCTAACTAGTAAAAAATAAATAAATAATTGACTTGAGCAGGACCAGACAGTTGTCACTAGAGAAAGGGGAGGTGGGCGAGAGGTCAGCTTCCTGAGGTAGTATTATATTACATCTGTGATAAGGACATCTCCCTGTCATTGTCTTGTACATAGTTAAGAACTGTGGAACAGTCTTGCATTTTTTCTACTACTGCTAAAAACATTTTTTTTCTAACTTAACAACATACTTTACACATCCTATTCCAGAACTGGGCTCTTCCTAACTTAAAAGGCGGTCATTCCCGATGGCTTTGTTTTGAATATTCTGTTGCCATCCCACCTAAATGAGGCTGAGGGGGATCTAGGGCTCCGTTTCCTCTCTGGCCCCCAACCTCGACCCCAATAACTGTATATACCTAAGATTTGCAGTATGTGGGTCTTTATTCCCTGTCAGTCTTTGCTTTCTAAATCAGTGATTCTCGGCGTTCTCTAAACAGAATCGCCTAGGCCCTAGGGAGGTTTTAAAACCCCAAATCCAGGCTATACCCTAGGCCAATTAAATCAGAATTTCTGGGAGTGGAACCCCGGCATTAGTATTTTTTTAATTTTTATTTTTTTAATATATTTTATTGATTTTACACAGAGAGGAATTGAGAGGAATAGAGTTAGAAACGTCGATGAGAGAGAAACATCGACCAGCTGCCTCCTGACACCCCCTACTGGGGACATGCCCACAACCAAGGTACATGCCCTTGACCGGAATCAAACCCGGGACCTTTCAGTCCGCAGGCCGACGCTCTGTCCACTGAGCCAAACCGGTCTCGGCGGTATTTTTTTTTTTTTTTTTTTTAATACCCAGATGACTCCAATATGCAACCAAGGCTGAGAACTGCCCTTACACTCTTGTATCGTGACATCAGCATGAACAGGAACTCACCTGAAACTGACTTCCTGAGGTGTTTGAAAAGCAGGACAATCAGTCACTTGTTGGCTGCTTAAGGCAGTTTCCCTGGCTCCTGGCTCCCGGAGGCTCTCAGCCATACCCTCAAAGCTGGAGCCCCAAAGTCTGCACTCCTTTAGGCATGGAGACCTAGCCTCCTGCCTGGCTAGATGAGCTGTGTGAAACAGAACGAGAGGCTCCCCCTACAGGCTGTCAGGGCCCTTGCAGTGGTTGGGGAGATCTCACAGAGGCTGAGAGAGTCCATAGAAAGCGACTCAGGACAGCTAAGGAGATTTGTGAGGGCTATGGAGGAGGAGAGGGATGTCAAGTCTGTTTTCTTTTTCTTCATTATTCCCACTCTTAAACATATCAGGAACTGACTAGAAGGGTCTCCTTTGAGAAAGGTGAGGATTGAAAGCTGTGAGATTTAGCAGGCCTTTAAAAACACAGCCCAAGGGGCACATTGGCAGAGGGCAGTTCCCAGAGATACTGTCCACACAGTATCTGCTGTGTGATTTTCACACAGCTCTTGCTAGAGGCTCTGTTAGGGTTCGGCAGTCTTCCTTGGTGTGCCTTTTAAAGGCAGCCAGTCCAGCCCAGCACTGGTCAGATGCCAGATCTCAAAGGCTAATTTAAAACCAATGGCAAAAGGAACCCTTTGAGAGGATTGTTTTTAGAGACAGGAAAGTGAGCTGCAGAGGGACTGGGGTAAACAGCTGGTTATGGGCCCCAGCCTAACCCCTAAAACAATGCCTGCCTATATATTAAGTAAAGCTATCGCCTGAGTTCTTAACTAATGTATGTACAAGATATTGTGCTAAGGGCTTTGCATTAATTGTCTCATAGCCCTGACATCAGCTCAATGAGGAAGTACTACTGTTAACCCCACTTTTACAGATGAAGCCCGGGGAAATCGATTTCTTTGTCCCAGGTCACACAGAAAAGGAGAGAGCTAGCAACCAGATTCTAGCCTGGGCAGACTGCATTTAACACAGGAGGTTTCCCATGAAACATGTTAGTGGTTTTCCCTTGGTGAGTTTTTTGAGAAATAGTTCTATTATGGTTTAAATCTTGTGTTCTGGGATTCTTTATAAGGAGGAAGAGTCCCCTTGGAGTAAGGTGACCAGATCGTCCCGCTTTTGGCGAGACTGCCCCAATTTTTAACAATTTTTCCCGCGTCTTGAAAAGAATCGTGACTTTTTTAAAACGCCACGGGACACATTGTTAAAATTCGGGACGTCTGGCCACCTTGCCTTAGAGGCATCTTGAGGCTCCAAACATTCTTTACAAGAGTCCCCTTAGAGGTATCTTCAGGCCCCAAATCCTTCGCTCAGCTCTCCCTCCCGGGCCTGGGAACTCGGGATGCGGAGCGGAGCGCTCTGGCCGCCAGCAGGCGGCACCATCGCTCTGAGCGGCCGGCCGGCCGGGCCCGTTGCCCGGGACTACGGGGAGCCAGGGAGAGGCGCTGGGGATCCAAGCAAAACCCCTGGAGCGAGCGGTGGCCTCTCCCCTGCAGGGCCCCTCCAGCCCGCCAGGTGCTCCCGGCGCGCCCCCACGCCTGCGTCCCCGCCGCAGCGAGCATGCGCGGCGCCTCCCGCGGTTCGCCAAGTCCCGGGGTCCGCGGCGCGCGCCCCGCCCCGCCCGCCCGCCCGCCCCCGGCGCTCGCACCCCCGCCCGCGCTTCGCCCGCGCTGCCCCGGAGACCGCGACTTCCGGGCTGGTCCGGGCCGCAGGGGGCGCCGCCGTCGCGCGGCCAGGCTGGGCGGGGCCCCCGGCCGGGCGTTCGGGAGCGCGGCAGCGGCGGCGGCGGCCAGAGCGCAGCGGCCGGCCTCTCCCCCACCGCAGCCCGCCCGCCGCCCCGCGCCATGGCGGGCAGCAGCTCGCTGGAGGCGGTGCGCAGGAAGATCCGCAGCCTGCAGGAGCAGGCGGACGCCGCCGAGGAGCGCGCGGGCAGCCTGCAACGCGAGCTGGACTACGAGAGGAAGCTGAGGGAGACCGTAAGGGACCCACCCAGCACCCAGTCCCCCTCCCCTCCCAGCACCCAGTCCTTCCCACCCCCGGAGGCGCCTCCTCGCGCGCCGCCGGGCCTCTGGAGCCCACCGGCCCCTTCCCCCGCGCTCCTGGGCGCACCGTGGCTGCGGGCGCCGGCCGGCTCTGCAGGGGCCCTGCGCGTGCCTCTCTGTCCTTCCATTCCACGGCTCTGGTCTAAAGGAAAAGCTCTGAGGGGAAGCAGGAGTGGCG